AGTTCTGAAGGCGAAAGGGGGTCAAACACCGTATTAGTATGGTGTTCCTAATAATCCTTTAGGTGAGTGTACATGCACAGTATACATAGATTGTTCAATCGTTTCCTGTGTTTTCAATGTGAATTTCGTGTGCCTGTAAATATTTCCTTTGTTAGCACCCTGTTGAGTCTTTTACTGGCTGCGGTCTGTATCTTGGCAAAAATACATTAGAATTTAGTGATTAATTGTCATCGCTGACACACCGCAGCACCAATGTGTTCTCTGCATTTAACCCATATGTGACATAGCAAGGAACAGCTAATTCAGCACCTGGGGGTGGTACCTTGCTCAGGGTACTTCAGGAGTGCCTTGCTGGTTGGGGATTCAAACCCATAATCTTTCAATTACGAGTGCAATAATGTCTCTAAGGACAGTAGGAAACAGGGGTCTTTGACCCCCGCTTCAATAATGTCTCTAAGGACAGTAGGAAACAGGGGTCTTTGACCCTCGCTTCACTAGACGCTGCGGGTGGCGAGTTGTGTTGAGCGAGGTAGTTTTGATAATTGATAATTGTCATTATTAGCGTTGTTGATGTTGTCTATTTCATCAATTAAGGCTTCGGATATAGGAGGGGGGTGTTGATCTGTCCATACCTGCTGATTCAGAGCCCCTTTCATTTAACATGCTTATTAATGTCTCTAAGGACAGTAGGAAACAGGGCTCTTCGACCCTGGCTTCACCAGAGGTTGCGGGTGGCGAGTCATGTTGAGCAAAGTAGTTTTGATAAACCGCATCATTTTCATTATTAGCGTTGTTGATGTTGTCTATTTCATCTAATAAGGCTTCGGGTATAGGAGGGGGTGATGGTCCGTCCATACCTGCTGATTCAGGTCTTTCGTAGATTTTCTCTTGACCGGTCCGCACCGTCTCTCGTAGAAAAAAACAGAGAATACCTATTATTAGAATAAGTTATTTTAATGTATAGCGTTTATCATAAAACATGTATAAAAGAAATAATATACTCACTCTATGAAAGTCCCGTGTAGTTTTCTTTTCTTTTTCCAATGGGGTAAGGCCGTAGATGATACTTGGGGTACTTGTGTTTCTTTACCAAAGGAGGAAAACTGGTACGCTCACCGTAATAAAAATATCTGCGGCTGGTTTTTCTTCTCTAAGGAGAAATATACAGCCTGTCAAGTTTTAGGATTGTCTTCTTTTTCTTAATTAAGTCCATTTCATGTACGTTTTTCTTTCATCTCATATTTGTAGTAATGCGCAGACGATACGCTCGACCCGGGATGACCTACGGGGGTGTAAATAAGAGAGACAAGAATATTACCCAAAATCCTATTATATACTGAAAGACAAAATGTCCATTTTGATGTGTGGCTGATACAGTTTGACCCGAGGATGACATACGGAGATGTTGTATGAGAAAAACCAAAACTTCAAACAAGAAAAAATAAGAGGGGGGGGGGAAAGGGGGGGAGGGGGGGGGGGGGTCACCCTCACTCCCTACCACTTTCACACACAGGCAAGCTGCTGCAGGGGGGGTCAGACACTACCCTGCTCCCCCTCCCCTCACAGACACACGGCCAAACTGCTGCTAAGCGTTTATTGCAGGATAGCGTCAGACCCACCTCCTCTCATTCTTAGCTCCATTATTATTAGAATCAGACTCGTGCAACATCGCTCTCAGGATCTCCTTTGCAGAATGTACAAGTCCTTTACATTTACACGCTCCGGACCGACCGGGACCTTACCACAGTACCGCACCACAGGCAGACCCAGCATACGCTCACACTCCATCAGGTAACCGACCCGCTCAGCTCCGCGCTCAGCTCCGCGCTCAGCTCCGTCAGCCTCATAGCACGGGGCAATTCCGACAAACCCCACTCATAAGCACCCAATTCACTGAAACTTCATTTCACTCTCCAAACTAGTAAAAATAAAACAAATAATGAAAATAAATAAATAAATAATAATGATGAAAGAATAAAAATAAATAAATAATTTTAAAAAACACCCCGCAACAAATTTCACACCCCCTCTCACAGCAACACCAACAGTCGTGACGTCACCTGGCTCCACCCCAACCCCGCCCCCCCCACCAGTGAACAATTGACCCGTAACCTTTTGACCCTCATGTCATAAATCTTTTTGAAAGAAGCGGCATGCCCCCTCTCTCTCTCTCCCCCTAACCCCGCCCTCATGCTCGTAACCATAAACCCCAGATTTCATAGATCTTTCACTCACACACACACACCCCCCAACAATGCAGCACTAAAAAGCAGCTACTTCCCTAAAGAGGAGCACACCCGGCTCCCCCGCGTTCTCCAGGGAAGGGGGGTTAAAGTTCCTCAGCCGACTGGGCCTGCATCAGTCCTCTGGTCCTCGCTGCCAGCCCTAAAACTTCTGTAGTTCCAAAACTTCTGTACTTCTCTAAACATTCACTCCTCCCGTAACTATCTTCATGCACGGCCGATTTACCACCAGCGACAAACACATTGCTTTTCTCAAAAAATGCTGACTGCAGTCCCCCGTCCGAGGTTTCTCCTACAGCCTCCTTTCCTTACTGTTGGCCCGGCCCGGCCCGGCCCTGCCC